AAAAGAAAGAAAGAAAAGAAAAAGGTAATTAGGGCAAAATAAGGTTATATGAGTGAGGCCTCATGCAATGTGACTGGTATCCTTATAAGAAGAGATTAGGACACAAGACATGCATAGAGGAAGACCATGTGGGGATATAGGAAGAAGCAGCAACCTGCGGGGCAAAGACAGAGGCCTCAGAAGAAACTAACCTGTTGACTCTTTGATCTGGAACTTCCAGCCTTATGAATTGTGAGAAAGTAAACATCTGTTGTTTAAGCCACTCAGTCTATATCCCATACCACAGAAGCCCTAGGTGATTAATATGCCAGCCTGTGTAGCTCCTAATGAAATAAACAATCACAATGGCCGCTGATGGCCACCAAAACCATTAGGAGAAAACCTGACAAACAACTTCATAACAACTCCTGAGCCCGACAACTCCTGCAGAACGTCACAGAGACAGGCAGGTACTTGGCGCTTCTGTGCCTGGACATACACACCAACCACCCATGAAATTTTCTTGCCATAAAAATTGAACTAGAATGGAATCAAGCTCCTAGATCCAGCTATTATTTTACAGCACCACAGAAAGAGGACTATGTCGAGCAACATCACAGGATGCAAACAGCAAAATCCAGCCTAGGGGAAAATGAGTAGGACAAACAACTAACTTCCTTCAAAGCACAATTATGGAGGAAGGAAAGAGACTGGGAAACCTACAAAATAACAGACATTTGAGATCACAAAGATTAATTCAAATTAATTCAAAATGGATCATAGACCTAAACGTAAAACGCGAAACTATAAGACTCCTAGAGAAACACAGGAGAAGATCTAGGACTCAGGGGTCCTCAAACTTTTTAAACATGGGGCCAGTTCACTGTTCCTCAGACCGTTGGCAGGACGAGTTGGCTGCTAAGCAGGACAGACAGAGGTGGCAAAAACACCCAGCGGGCCGGATAAATGTACTAGGCGGGCTGCATGTGGCCTGCAGGCTATAGTTTGAGGACGCCTGAAGGTGATCTTGGGTTTGGTAATGACTTCTGAGATATAACACAGAAGCACAATCCATGAAAGAAAAAACTGGTAAGCTGGACATCATTAAAGTTCAAAATTTCTGCTTTGTGAAAGACACCACTAAAGGAATGAAAATTGCAAAGTCTCAGCCTGTCTGGCAAAAAAATAAAATTAGGCTGGGTTCAGTGGCTCACATCTATAATCCTAGCCCTCTGGCAGGCTGAGGCTGGTGGATCACCTGAGCTCAAGAATTTGAGACCGGACAATGCCTGTGGCTCAGTGAGTAAGGTGCCGGCCCCATATGGGTGGTGGGTTCAAACCCAGCCCTGGCCAAACTGCAACAAAAAAATAACTGGGTGTTGTGGCGGGTGCCTGTGGTCCCAGCTACTTGGGAGGTTGAAGTAAGAGAATCACCTAAATCCATGAGCTGGAGGTTGCTGTGAGCTGTGATGCTACTGCACTCTACCAAGGGTGATAAAGTAAGACTGTCTCTAAAAAAAAAAAAAAAAAAAAGGAGAGAGAGAGAGACCTCCACCTCTACTAAAAATAGAAAAACTAATTGAGTGTGGTAGCGGGCACCTATAGTCCCAGGTACTTGGGAGGCTGAGGCATGAGGATCTCTTGAACCCAAGAGTTTGAGGTTGCTGTGAGCTATGACAGCACTCTACTAAAGGCAACATAGTGAGACTCTGTCTCAGAAAAAGAAAGAAAGAAAGAAAGAAATAACAAGCCAGAGACTGGAGGAAATATTTGCAAAACACCTGTGCAATAAAGAAAGGATTGGGATCCAAAATAGACGAATAACTCTTAAAACTCCACAATCAATAAAAGACAGAGAGACTCATTGAAATGTTTGGACCTCAACTGGATCCTGATTCATACTTCAGAAAACATTTATAATCAGGGTAAAGTGAACAGAAACAGGACACTGCTGACATTATGGATCTGGAGTTAATTACCCGTTGGTGTGATAATGGTTTAGCTATCATTTTTTTAAAGTGCCCTCACCTACTAGAGTTACATACTGAACTATTTCTACATGAAATGCTCTAATGTCTGAGATGTTTCAGATGAATCTGAGGTGGGGTGGGAAGAGGGTAGGAAGTAGGTGAAATGGAAACGATCAGGAGTTGGTGATTATTAAGACACTGCAATGGGCTTACATGGGGGGGGCTTGTTATACTATTCTCTCTACTTAGGTGTGCTTTGAAATTTTCTACAATTAATTAAAATGAAGGAAAAAATAAAAGAAGAACTACCTCATTTGAGTCCCAACTTCTTTGTGGCACTCCAGCTGAATGTTTGTGCAACTCCCCAACAACACCTATCTTTTCCAGCAGCCTGGGAGCTTCAGGAGGGTGGAATGGGTCCCACCCTTCTTGCCCAGTGTCCAGAACGGCGCTCCACACCCACCAAGAATGCCTGGTCAACCTTTGTGGAATGAATGGGGTTTGGGGACTTCCAGGAAGGAAACAGCAGACTCCACCTACAAAGCTGAGGGGAGACTTCCTGGTGGAGGTGATGTGCAGCCTGGACCTTGAAGAATAAGGAGGACAGGAAGATGTGGGGAGGGTGCTCTCAGAAAAGTGGAGAGGTAGGACATTGCTAGTGCCATGTGTGGGGCTGGAGTGTAGACTCTGCTGGGCAGGTGGAGACAAGTGCAGCTGGAGGCATGTCTAAGGATTTTAAGGCAAGGAATTCCGGACTTGGTGGGGGTGGGTAATGGGAGCAGGGGTGAGCATGGGCAGGGTAGAAAGCACTGGGTGTAGAGAGACCTCTCACAAGGAATGCATAGGGACAAGCTGCAGGGGGAGGCTGGAGTGAGGGTCCTGGGAGGGGACCAGTTCGGGCCAGGCCACTGGGACAGAGAGGATGGCATAAGCTAGAGGTGAGGGAGATAGCTCACCCTTCCACTCCAGGTTCCCGCGGCCCCTCTCCAGGTGCCCCTGCAGGCGCTGGGGGCAGGAGTAGAGGAGGAAGGTCATCTCCTTGCTGGCTGCTTCGGCCTGCTGCATCCACTGCTGACTGATGGCCTGGGCCTCAGGCCAGTCCCCGTTCCAGGTGCCCTTCTTGAGGTCGAATGACATGAACTCCTCCCCATTCAAGGCAAACTTGGCGGTGGGCACCGACGCATTGTCAGGGCCCAGTTTGCAGCCCAGCAGGCCCTGCAGGGTGTAGGGACCTGGTGCCCACACACACAGGTCAGCGGGGGCCCAACAGCAAGGACCCAGCCTTCCTCCTGCACGCCCAGGAGTCAGAGCCTCACCTGTTCCTTCCAGGGCTTTGAAAGCTTCCAGAAAGAGCTTCTCCTTGATCCTCAGGTCCGCAGTCTCTCTCTCCCAGTACCAGGACACCTGATTTTCCCAGACCCATGCTCCACATGGCTCAGCCTGGGCCCTCAGGTTACTGTAGCTCAGGTACTGCTGGGGGCCCAGCCAGCCTGACACCCAGAAGGCAGGAGTCCCTGGGGCAGGCTTGGACACAGCGGTGAGGTGGTAAAGGAGGGAGAGGTGACTTTCTGCAGACAGAGACACAGTGAAGGGAGCACTGGGCCAGGGGTGTGGGAGGACCTAGACTGTAGCAGGAGAGACACCAGGGGAGAGAGAAGGCTTGGCCTGGGGGAGGGGATTGACCACAGGAGAGGGGGACAGAGACACAGAGAGGGGGTCAGAGACCCAGAGAGAGGGGGACAGAGACACAGAGAGGGGAAACAGAGACCCTGGGTGAGGGGGACAGAAAGCCAGAGAGAGGGGGACAGAGAACCAGAGAGAGGAGACAGAGGCCAGAGAGAGGGAGACAGAGGCTAAGAAGCGGGACAGAGAGCCAGAGAGAGGGGATAAAAATACAGGGGGAAGGGGACAGAGACCAGGAAAAGAGGGACAGAGACTAGTGACAGGAGGACAGAAGCATAACCAGGGCAGGTAGATCCTAGACACAGAGACTGAGGAAGAGAAAGTGATAAACAAGGGGAAGGGGCCAAGGAGGAAGTGTGGGTGGATTTTGCTTCCCATGCCTCTCTTCCCGCCCACGCAGCGAAGGCCCCTCACCTGAGCGCAGGGTCCGGGGCAGTAGGAAGAGCAGCAGAGCCAGCGCCCAACGCCCAGGCAGGGGGACGCCCATGCTGAGAAGGCGACCTGGGGCGGGAGGGGGCGCGTGATTCCTGGGGACCCCCGCCCCGCCCCTTCGTCCCTGGGCACCCGCGAGCACGGTGGGGACCAGAACTCCAGGAGGTTTGGGGGCTAGATCAAGGATGACAACAATGCCTTCTCCTCAATGAACTTTCACCCCTTAATTTGATTCCTTTTGGTTAATTAATTACAGAACCTGGATTGGGCGAGATTGCTCTCCCGGATCTCAGCTCTGCCTCTTCTTCCTCCCTCGGACACAGGAGTCCAGGCCTCCAGCCCAGCGCCTCTCCCCCCTCAGATTGAGAATCACCCCAAGCCCCTGCCCCCGCCGCCCCGATCTGCTCACGCGGCCACGTTCCCTTGCCGCCTGCAGCCCGCTGGCTCCTGCTCCCGTGACTGGAGACCCCAGTTCCTCTCTCACATCCTGTCCGGAGGCTCCCTGACTCCAGGGACATCCAACCCCACCCCCCCAGCTGCAGGGCACACCCCGGGCCATAGGCCCAGCCTCTCTGTTTGTCTCTTAAAACTTTCATCTTTTTTTCTTTCTCTGCTGCTCCTTGTTCTTTATTTTGAGAGTGTCAGACACCCAGCGAATTCATGACAGAGATAGGAATGGAACTCCACACTCTGAAGATCTCCGTTGAACTTTTCCGTCTCTCATTGGACCCCCCATGACTTTCCTACCCTCCTGTGTCATACTCCTCCACCAAGTGTCTCCTTAAAAAGCTCCTGCAGGTGTTCTTTATTTATATTGATTGATTGATTTTTTGAGACAGAGCCTCAAGCTGTGGCCCTGGGTAGAGTGGTGTGGCATCACAGCTCATAGCAACCTCAAACTCTTGGACTGAAGCAATTCTCTTGCTTCAGCCTCCCAAGTAGCTGGGACGACAGGCGCCTGCCACGATGCCCGGCTATTTTTTGGTTGTCGTTGTCATTGTTGTTCCACAGGCCTGGGCTGGATTCGAACTTGCCAGCACTGGTGTATGTGACTGGTGCCTTAGCTGCTTGAGCTACAGGTGCCGAGCCTATTGATTGATTTTTTGAGATAGAGTCTCACTCTGTTGTCCAAGCTAGAGTGCTGTGGCATCAACCTAGCTCACAGCAATCTCAAACTCTTTTTTTTTTTTTTGAGACAGAGTCTCACAATGTCACCCTCAGTAGAGTGCCAAGGTGTCACAGCTCACAGCATCCTCAAACTCTTGGGTTCAAGCCATTCTCTTGCCTCAGCCTCCCAAGCAGCTGAGACAACAGGCACCTGCCACAACACCCAGCTAGTTTTTGTTACAGTTGTCATTGTTGGTTAGCTGGCCTGGGCCATGCTCTAACACACCAACTTCAGTGTATGTGGCTGGTGCCATAACCACATAAGGCTATGGGTGCCAAGCCAGCAATCTCAAGACTCTTCAACTCAAGTGACCCTCCTGCCTCAGCCTCCTAAATAGTTGGAACTACAGATGCCCACCATCACACCTGGCTAATTTTTTCTATTTTTAATAGAGATGGGGGTCCCTCGTTTGCTTAGGCTGGTTGCCAACTTTTTTTTTTTTTTTTAAGAGACAGAGTCTCACTTTGTCACCCTCGGTAGAGTGCCATGACATCACAGCTCTTGGGCTTAGGCAATTCTCTTGCTTCAGCCTCCCAAGTAGCTGGGACTCCAGACACCCACCATAATGCCTAGCTAGGTTGCCAACTTCTGAGATCAAAGTAGCCTCCTGCCTTGGCCTCCCAGAGTGCTAGGATTACAGGTGTAAGCCAAAGTGCCAGGACTTCCTTGAAATTAGAACAGCATTGCCCTGGGGTCCTGCCACATAACCCAGCCTGAGTGCTCATGTCCCCAGGGTCTGGCTTTAATATTACTAGAATGCTGGCTCGGTGCCTGTGGCTCAAGCGGCTAAG